AACATCTGCTTCACTTGTGCCGCAGCAGCTTTACTCTGCTGATCACACTAACCACTTTAACTCCCCAAAGCTTGCTGTTCTTTCTGCTGCCATGCAACTGGGCAGCCTGGACACAATCACAGCTAAATGTTTTACTGACACACGAGGCATACGCCTAATTTCGTATAAGGTTTTGCCTCAGGATTAAATCTAAAATATATTTACGAACATGCTGCTGATAAGTGACACTGCTTCAAAAAATGTCATCTAAACAAAACCACTAATTAGTGACTGGTGAAACCACATCAATAAATAGTTAGAAAATGTCTTTTGAATGGGCACTTGTAATGGGCAAAGGTTTAATTCAAGGCTTTCAGACAGAACGGTGTTGATGGAGGATAAACAAAGATTAAACAAACCCCATGGTGGGGTTTTGTAGATGACTGCACTTTGCCCACTGGAGACTGGTGACAAGTCCTTATTTTCCACATGCCAAGAACGTCCATCATGAAAGTGTTTGATCAATAGAAGACAATTATCATTTTGGGTTTTAACCCAACAATTCAAAGCGAAGGGGCTTTAAACGTCCCAACGGGCAAATTTTTCAGAATGCTTTCACAGAAGAACGAATCCCTTTTCTTACAGTATCTCTGAACAAAGACAGGGAGACAACAATAACTTGCACAACTGACCATTTCTGCCCCCTTTAGAGATTTATGTCCATTTACTTTTGCAGTGAAAATTCCCTTATTTATATAACATTACATAACAAAGGCATTAAGGACATACAATCAATGCCAAATGGCAGAAATGATTTAATTAGTTTTCTCCCACACTGCTCAGTATTATTCAATTATTCATCTGTCTGAATGCTAGAAGAGGCATAAAATTCAAGTAGCTGGTAAATAACTGAATTGCCCCCCAAAAACTGATTTAGAGCTACACGTTTGTGTCACTATCCCCATATAACATTTGTCTTCAAACTATAACAATCTGTCACTCCCAAACCCCCCAAAACTTTCACACGCGGTGCTCCTTATTGTCCACTGAAGAAACAAGCCTCTAAATGTTTCATTATGGATTCTTTTGATATGAGGAAGAATTCTTCCTAAGGCTGAGCTGGATACATCCTGGCATCTCTGACTTTGAGAAATGTTAACTGTCTCTTCCTCTCCTCCTCATAATCCGAATCAGATTCTGGCGGCGTAACCGTTCCCTGACTCCTTTTATTCTTCACGGATCCGACCATCTGGTACAGATGTTTTGCTGGTGTTGCACTGACTATGGGAACTCATGGAATTGAGTCAAAAAGTCTTCTTGCTTAGCAAACTCCTTTATCATCTCCTTCAGCAAAGGAAATAGTTGGCCATCCCTTATAAAAAGGATGGAAATCACTTAATACCACAATTCCTTGAAACTGCTGCTTTCAAAGCAGCAGTTGATTTTTCCCATCCAGCTGTACTTACTGTGATTCATGTAGAAAATATTAGGACAGGAGGGGGGAAAGGAGTAGTGTAGTACAACAATATATTTGACATTTGTGCCTTTGTATCATTTCTAGATGTGAGCTGTAAGATCTGTTACAATGCAGTCACTCGTAACGAGTTATCATCATGACTGTCACAATGCTGGTTAAGTTGTCTGGGTAAGGATTCCACGGATCCAAGTGTTAAATGGCTTGTTTATTTACCCACCACCACGGCTGGCAGGTTGTTTAAATACCTAATGCTGACTCTGGCGTCACGGTACTGTATGCGCCTTCCTTTGCTCCTTCTTATGTACACAGACACTCCCCCGTGCATCCAAGTGCTCCCATTATTAAAGTGATCCGCAGGTAATGACCCAAGAAATGCACCATTCCACCTTCAAAGGCAGAGCGCCACTTCAAACATGTAAGAAGACAATGGGAATACAGCACCGTAAGAAGATTCTTTATGAAAGAGAGCCATGGCTAAAATTTCAATATCAGGACACCTTTTAAACTCAGTTCATTCACTTTGTGCAATCTCTCCCTTTTTAAAAAGTGAAGCACACCTATCAACTCAAGGTGTTGAATAGTATGGTACTGTTAGCATCTTCAAGAGTTAAGAATGCAAGACAAGCTCGCCTTGAGCACATAATAGTAGTCTGTTCTTTCAATCTCTATATACTTGGATCGTTTGACAGGAATCAATTTGCATGCTAATGCTTTGCATAGGGGGAAGGTCACATCACAAACAAGGTTATTTATCATTTTGATACAAGGGCCTCTAGGAGAGAAAATCCCTCACTTTTAGTGTTAGTACTCTAGAGAAGAAAAGAGCCAACACTTTTCTTTTTTTTTTGCAGGAATACTAAAACCACAATTCATCGTTTCATTTGAGAATTGGAGCAGCGCTTGTTTATTTATGGCAGCAGGCTTTTACCGCCCTCTGAGCGGGTGTGGTGTCTTTGTGGTGAAAAGGTGATGCTTCTTCTGGATAGGGCTGCGTGCCGTTGAGTGCAGAGTTCACACACAGTAATGTTTCACTGTGGTGTAAACATTTAAAAGCAGCCAGGGGAACTGTGCCGAGCTCTCAGAAATAACCAATTCTCATTGCTGCTGCTGACATTTCCGACCTTGGACCATTATCATTGCAGCAAACACAGACGGCCTGGCATGCACAATCTGCACAGACCCAGCACAGCACAAAGCACATACAAAGAGAGGAAAAAGACCAGGTCTTCAGCCAGCATACACACACTGAAAGCAAACACCATTTTGTCTCTATGAAGAGAGAACAAAAGCTCTTTATCTTATCCTCACTCAATAGAATAACAGTATACAATAAAAAAAGGGTCATGACAGATTTTGATGACCAAAAACTTTTGCTAAATATTGCTTGATGTGTTGCCTAAATCTCTGGCATGCTGTAGTATGTATTACTATTGAAATGAGAAGAGATATGACCTCCTGGAGAGTATTGCATCTGGCTTCAGGTTCCTCATCCACCTGCATTTATACAGGATGCAGGATCTATCGACCCAAAGAAGATACTTGCATATAATAATTTAATGTCATCTTGATGGACCCATTTTCCAGAAAGAAGTAAAATTAAATCCTGGACCAAAAGAAAAAAACCTTTGTTGCATGTTGGCTACAGGCTGACAGAAGTTAAACTGAAGAAGCTTACTGGCCTTTATCTTCCCCCTGTGCATCTGGGAGAGATGCAGAACAAACGCCTCCCACAGGTGGGAGGTTTGTGTAAAATTCATAGTTTGTAATTTATGGGAAAATTTTCAAAACATTTCGCACCAGTATAATGGTAACAAGAACCAAAAAAAGCGGAAAATACAACGCAACAAAGGGAGAAGCTTCAAATGTTTCTAAACCAGCAGGAAAAGTTTATTGTGTATGAAGCAGGAATAACTGAAAGGCTGCCTGTGTTCACCTATAAAACAAGGATAAGCTATTTGTGCAGTTCCTGTTGTCCCGACTGCTTTGTACTGCATGAAACAGTCGTCTATTAGCTCGTATAATCACTGCAGCCTATGAAGGCAGTGGGACTAATATGTTACTGAATGCAGAGCCGTTGATATAAAGTGTTGCCCTTGAGCAGTGCTGTCCACTGTGTTTATCAAATCGCATGCAAATGACAGCCAGCTGTTACAAAGTAAGTCAATAGGATGTTGCAAACATCAACGTTGTTTTTTTTAAAGCAGCACAAACCCATTTCAGCCTTCCTTTGCATGTAAACAGCGTTTTGTATATTAATCTTCAAAAGATTTAATTCAAAATCCATATTTTAAATAATATTTCTGACAAGAACAAAAAAAATCTTTAAAAAGAAAATTTGACAAGCCTGAATGTAATATCTTTGTATTTATCATTTTACAACCTAATGAAAAACAGGCTGCATTGATGGCTCAGACTGATCACTCCAATGTCTTTAGCAAGTGGGAGATGGAACTAATGAGGAAAGGCTAAAAATTATCATTAAATTAACCCCTTATTACGCCCTTTGTCTTTCAGTTTACATCTAAATAAGCTGTTACATGATTGTGTCCAATCATTTAACAGCTTTAGATTTTACAACCAAACAGTCACAAATTTGTTTACAAAACATGAAGGTTTGGGCCTTTTTTGGGGATGGCTGCCATAACTATAGTAACTACAAATGTCACAATATCAATCAGGATAAATCTTAACGCATGAATAATCACACTTCTTTTCCACTTCCTTCAAGACAAGTTAATCTTTCTTTCATTTTGAATTTTTTACCATCAATGAGATTATGATAATAACAGCCAACATTACTCATAACATCTGTTGCCATGGTAAATCTCACCCTGTTTGCCTCGAGCATTCAACTCTCATGACATTTCAGACTTCACTGACATGGCATGTCAGTCTGGAGGAAAGCTCTCTGCTCTAAACTTCAGAGTGATATAAGACAGCTTTTCCATCAGTGCTGAGCAAAAACATAGCTGACAGTGAAAAAGATTCTGAAAAGGCTTTACATGTATTTGATGTCTGACACCAAACGGCTTCCTCCTCATAAATATGACATCATACAAAACTCCACAAGCCATTATTTTGCTCAACTTGGTCTCTTACAACTTTTTACATATATTTACACACAGTATGTTTATCTGTCCAGCTGGTATACATATATTTACCCAATTTCATTGGTTTATCACTTTCACAATTTATTTTGAGTAAATAAGATGAACAGTATCATCAGAATAGGGTCGTATGAAGTAAGTTTTTCATGAATTGGAAAAATAAATTTGATTAAACAGGCTCATAAATGAATCCCATTCGGCCCTATAGGCAATAGAAATTAAAATTTCAATTAACTCTTTTTCAACTGTTTATTTGATGTGTTCTTCCATGCTTGAGTGTTAAGTCTGTTTGTCTTTTATCCCTGAGGCAGAAACAGCTGATCACTCAAGCGATCACTCATTTGATTGCTATGTTTGCTATGTTAGAACTGATCTGCGTTAGGCATTTCCATCATCCCCCATCAACTCTTTTCCTAATCACAAACAAACAAAATAAACTAATCAAAAAGCGTCTGAAGAGAGCAAAAATCATTTTCAAAAGTTTGAATGTTTTTGTGGCTCTCTCCATTTCTATACAATTTCAAAGAGTGCATTAAAAAAAGAAACAAGGTAAACCAGAGTGAAGAAAAAGAGATTAACTTCATACATCAAATCAAGAAATTTGCTTTGCATAACCATAGTGATGACAATCTTATTCAACAGACACGTTTGCTCCAACTTGGATGAAATGACTAACCTCCATTGTGCTGAATTATGATAGATGTCTGTTATTTTGGGAATACAGAGTTAATGATCTCTTAGCTGTCAAAACCTTTCCCCTACCAACAGATTCCAGTTTTTGTAGAAAACCTGGTTTACAAACACAGACCACAAACCAGGCACTTTCACTTGCAATTAAATTAATTGATAATTGAAAATAGCTGAATTGCTCAACTAAATAAAACTAATTAGCCATCAGTGGTTAATGGCATGTCTCTGCAGCTTTAATACCTCCTTTAAACACACAGCCCTATCAGCAGACATTAAAGTCAATCAAGCTTAGCCTCCTAGTTTTGTTTTGTGCTTCCCAAATAACCACTATGGAATTGATTTCATGCATGATTTTAATTTCTAATTTTCAAGTTGTCACTAAAACATTAATGTAGGATCATTAAGATTTCACTGTGCCCCCTTTTGTTGCATCCAAGCCCTTTTTATTCTCATCCTCTCGTTGTTACTACTGCCTGTTACCCGACAGCCTTGTGCTACTGGGAAACGGGACACAATACCTTGTTAACTTCTAGGATCTCTCTCCTCTCCTCGCTTGAGGCGCGGCTCTGACCCCCTGTCCGATCCTCGTGTTTAGAGCTGTCATCGTCTAAAAAGGGTATCAGTTGCTGAAAGACAAAAATCAGGATGTATTCATTAATGAATAATGAATAGTCAAATCTACAGAGTCCATGTATTATATCTGCAATCAAATCTAATGAAGTCATGCACTTCTAACTCCTCCCTGTGAATGTTCATTATTGGACCCAAACACATTGCCAGAGCTGGATATGTAATGTCTAACTAAAGAAGTTAAAGGCCAGCTTTACATGTTCTCTAAACAAATTACTTCTACGCTAAATACATGCTGCCCTATGCTCTTTTTCCCATGAAGTAAGAAAAATGGGAATTCCGTGTAAGCTCTCACACTCAGACTGCTTCATCTTTCTCAGAGATACAGCACAGAGTGAGAGGAGACAGCGAGTGGGAGATTAATTCATTTTTAAAAGCTGTGTGTGCTTGACCTTGTCTCCTTGACACTACCACGAGGCCGATGTGCAAGAGCCTTTGGGCAAGATGGAATTCCTGAGTTTTTCAGGGTCAGTGTTTGCTGATCTGCATCACACTGCCCCCTAGTGGTCAGCATGAAGTGGGGTGGACAGAAGGAGGTAAGCTGCAGTTAGAAATCAACTGATCTAAGGATGTGTTGAGAACACACTGTTCTTTGTCTAAGACAGAGATGAAAAACCTGCACACAACGTGTGATTGATGTTATGTCAGATAATCTGTTCAGCAAGCAGAACCTTTGCCAAAAACAGATAACCGCACTGGGAATGTACATTTTCATACGCTATCATCATGCTAATGTGAACAATTTGGGTACACAGTTTTGCAAACCACAAGACTGAGTGTGTTCAAACAAAAGCTCTGTAGCGAGAAAAAAAAAACATTGGCTAATTTTCCCTTTCCAAAACAAAGACCGTCATACCAGACAAGATCACAAACAAAGATTATGGAGGAGAGTCTCCACCACTTAGGAGCCAAAAAAAAAAAGAAAAAGAAAACACACCTTGCTCCAGTAACAACTTGGGATCATTCTAATCTAAACTGTGCCAGTTCTTTGGAACAGAGAGTAGACAGTCATTTCAAATGAAAAGAAAAACAGGATTCTCTCCTGGCAATGACTAACTATTGCATAATGAAGCATGATGACATCAAAATTCAAACTAAATCAATAAGTAAAAGTTAGACAATGAGGTTGAAAAGGGCAATGCAGCAGTTAAGAAACCAGCAGAAAGAAACTCAAAGCAAAAAATACATCTACAGGGTCATTTATTAAACATAAATAAAGGAGCAACAAGCCCGTGAGTGGAAAATGAGACGGAGAGACATTCAAATCTTAGAAATCTGTCTTTTCCTGAGCTTTTCCAGTCAGAGCTCCATGCCAAACTGTAAACTTGGAAGGAGAAAAGACAGCGAAGAAATGTGACGGGCATTGCACACAACTATGAGTTAACCTCTAACTCAAGAAAACTTTGGGTTGCAAAAGATTGAAGTTTTTTCATTAGATCATTTAAGAGCCAAGTAAATGACATATTGAATTTGTAAAGGCAACGGGAGGATTTTGGCAGGAAGAGGGCGGAAAATGAAATGTGCTGAGTAGGGTTGGGAAAGATGGATGGAGAGTGCATTGTGCATGTGAGTGGGTGCGTGTACAGCCTTTCAGTTTGTGTGCGTCAATGTGCCTATGTGAGTCATAACCCCTGCCTCTTCTACAGAAAGATGGATGTGGTTTCCTGCCTGACAGAGGAGAATGAAATAATGAAGTTCTCCAGGTTGCCTCTGTGAGACAAAAGAAAAGAGCGGAATAAAAAAAAAATCTAAGTAATAGGAAAATAGCAGGATAGATGAGTAGAGGGGACATGGAAATTAAATAGTAAGACCTTTCACTGCAGGAAATGACGGAACATTTCAACAACAGCGAAAGAAGAAAGGAGGTACAGAGAGAAAACCAAAGCCAACGTGAACTAATGCCCTGATTGAAAAGGAAGAGGAAATGGAGGAACACAAATAAGGAGTAGCTTTAAGAAAATGGGAGGAAAGGCGCATACTAATTGAAAAAGTATGTCAGAACATAAGAAAATGTGGAAAAAGCTGCAGCAAAAGACAGATGGAGGGAAACGGGGGGGGGGGGGCTGACGTGTGCACTTGGTCCAGCTGTTCATTAAGCAGGTCTGCTGCTAATTAGGCTGCAATGAGGTCACACTGCTCGAGTCATTGATTTCACTTCCTGTTTCAGGCAGCCAATGGTGAGCGGCTGTCAGGCAGGCACCTGAATTCTCCACGATGATAAATGGCATGCACTCTGGAGCCAAAATCAACAACCCTCAGCCTCAGACAAACACGGTGCGCTGAGTTATTGGCCGGTCAGCACTGGACTGGGTCTCAAGGGGAAATGAATAAACACTTGAATAAGATGGGAAAATTCAAAGGCTTGGTGTAACAGCAAAGGAATATGTCAAAGAAAGCCCATCAGAGATTTTGATCTTGGGTCAGAAATGCAGATGACAGTAAATCTGAACAACCTGAAAACAGACAATTCCAAATGTCAACGCTGAAAATGTACAGGGTGGCAGTCAACACAAATTTGTTCCAATTTAAGACTGGTCTCCTTCCACATCCTCCTTTATCCCCAGTGGGAGTCTGGTGAGAAAGATTAGCTGTGAGCCAATCTGTGGGAATTGTGAAGGGACTGCCGCAGTCATAAATCCAATCAAACAGTGGGGCTTGGTGGCGCTGTGGCCCCGCGTGGCCCCTCACACACTGTATACCCAACTCAACAGCGCTTCTTATGTATAAACACACGGGCTGACAAACATGCCTGTGTGCCACCACACAGGTGTGTGTGTGTAGGGGACATAATGCCTATACATTCAGTGTGTCTGTCGGTTGGCAGGGCAGCAGTAAGACTGAGGCTGAAATGTTGTTGTTCCTGAAGGTGGATGGTGACTGTAATCAGCAGTAAAGCTGTAAAGAGACTCTGGGGACTCACCTGGAGCGACCAATGAAACTGCTGCAAGCACAGAAAAGACAGATCTAAAGGGAGCAGGCAAGATAAGTGGCCCCCAGGGTAACGTTTTATGTGTTCGGCTCTGCGAGGACATACGTGTGTGTGTGTGTGTGTGTGTGTGTGTGTGTGTGTGTGTGTGTGTG